TATTAAATGAACAATCAGACATGACTTACGATAAATCGACCGATTTGACGAAAAACCTGATGTAACTCTGTTCACAACAATAGGATTGCTTCCTAATTTTGTATAGTTTATGCCTACGTATCGTACAATAATACTAAATAGGTATTAAGTTGGCAGAAAAAATAGAATTAACACAATTAATGAGTAAACGTACGTAACCAACAAAAAATACTGAATTTCGATAAAAAAACCTGCTGTAACTCGATTCACAAAAATAGGATTGCTTTCTAATTTTGTATAGTTAATCCTTAAGTATCATACAATAATACGAACTTACATTTACGTTGGCAGAAAAGTTATAATTTTTATTATTAAATGAACAATCAGACATGACTTACGATAAATTGAACGATTCGACGAAAAATCTGATATAACTCTGTTCACAACAATAGGATTGCTTCCAAATTTTGTATAATTAATGCCTACGTATCATACAATAATACCAAATTACTTTTACGTTGGCAGAAAAGTTATAATTTTTATTATTAAATGAACAATCAGACACGACTTACGATAAATTGAACGATTCGACGAAAAATCTGATATAACTCTGTTCACAACAATAGGATTGCTTTCTAATTTTGTATAGTTAATGCCTAAGTATCATACAATAATACTAAATTACTTTTACGTTGGCAGAAAAGTTATAATTTTTATTATTAAATGAACAATCAGACATGACTTACGATAAATTGACCGATTCGACGAAAAATCTGATATAACTCTGTTCACAACAATAGGATTGCTTTCAAATTTTGTATAGTTAATGCCTAAGTATCATACAATAATACTAAATAGGTTTTACGTTGGCAGAAAAGTTATATTATTTATTATTAAATGAACAATCAGACACGACTTACGATAAATTGAACGATTCGACGAAAAATCTGATATAACTCTGTTCACAACAATAGGATTGCTTTCAAATTTTGTATAGTTAATGCCTAAGTATCATACAATAATACCAAATTACTTTTACGTTGGCAGAAAAGTTATAATTTTTATTATTAAATGAACAATCAGACACGACTTACGATAAATTGAACGATTCGACGAAAAATCTGATATAACTCTGTTCACAACAATAGGATTGCTTTCTAATTTTGTATAGTTAATGCCTAAGTATCATACAATAATACCAAATTATACGTTGGCAGAAAAGTTATAATTTTTATTATTAAATGAACAATCAGACACGACTTACGATAAATTGAACGATTCGACGAAAAATCTGATATAACTCTGTTCACAACAATAGGATTGCTTTCAAATTTTGTATAGTTTATGCCTAAGTATCATACAATAATACTAAATAGTTTTTACGTTGGCAGAAAACATAGAATTAACACAATTAATGAGTAAACGTACGTAACTAACAAAAAATACTGAATTTCGAACAAAAACCTGCTGCAACTCGATTCACAAAAATAGGATTGCTTTCTAATTTTGTATAGTTAATGCCTAAGTATCATACAATAATACTAAATTACTTTCACGTTGGCAGAAAAGTTATTATTTTTATTATTAAATGAGCAATCAGACATAACTTACGATAAATTGAACGATTCGACGGAAAATCTGATATAACTCTGTTCACAACAATAGGATTGCTTTCAAATTTTGTATAGTTTATGCCTACGTATCGCACAATAATACTAAATAGGTATTAAGTTGGCAGAAAAAATAGAATTAACACAATTAATGAGTAAGCGTGCGTAACCAACAAAAAATACTGAATTTCGATAAAAAACCTGCTGTAACTCGATTCACAAAAATAGGATTGCTTTCTAATTTTGTATAGTTAATCCATAAGTATCATACAATAATACGAAATTACATTTACGTTGGCAGAAAAGTTATAATTTCTATTATTAAATGAACAATCAGACATGACTTACGATAAATTGAACGATTCGACGAAAAATCTGATATAACTCTGTTCACAACAATAGGATTGCTTCCAAATTTTGTATAATTAATGCCTAGGTATCATACAATAATACCAAATTACTTTTACGTTAGCAGAAAAGTTATAATTTTTATTATTAAATGAACAATCTGCATGACTTACGATAAATCGACCGATTTGACGAAAAACCTGATGTAACTCTGTTCACAACAATAGGATTGCTTCCTAATTTTGTATAGTTTATGCCTACATATCGTACAATAATACTAAATAGGTTTTACGTTGGCAGAAAAGTTATAATTTTTATTATTAAATGAACAATCAGACACGACTTACGATAAATTGAACGATTCGACGAAAAATCTGATATAACTCTGTTCACAACAATAGGATTGCTTCCAAATTTTGTATAATTAATGCCTACGTATCATACAATAATACCAAATTACTTTTACGTTGGCAGAAAAGTTATAATTTTTATTATTAAATGAACAATCAGACATGACTTACGATAAATCGACCGATTTGACGAAAAACCTGATGTAACTCTGTTCACAACAATAGGATTGCTTCCTAATTTTGTATAGTTTATGCCTACGTATCGTACAATAATACTAAATAGGTATTAAGTTGGCAGAAAAAATAGAATTAACACAATTAATGAGTAAACGTACGTAACCAACAAAAAATACTGAATTTCGATAAAAAACCTGCTGTAACTCGATTCACAAAAATAGGATTGCTTTCTAATTTTGTATAGTTAATCCTTAAGTATCATACAATAATACGAACTTACATTTACGTTGGCAGAAAAGTTATAATTTTTATTATTAAATGAACAATCAGACATGACTTACGATAAATTGAACGATTCGACGAAAAATCTGATATAACTCTGTTCACAATTATAGGATTGCTTTCAAATTTTGTATAGTTAATGCCTAAGTATCATACAATAATACCAAATTACTTTTACGTTGGCAGAAAAGTTATATTTTTTTTTATTAAATGAACAATCGGACACGACTTACGATAAATTGAACGATTCGACGAAAAATCTGATATAACTCTGTTCACAACAATAGGATTCTTTTCAAATTTTGTATAGTTAATGCCTAAGTATCATACAATAATACTAAATAGGTTTTACGTTGGCAGAAAACATAGAATTAACACAATTAATGAGTAAACGTACGTAAATAACAAAAAATACTGAGTTTCGATCAAAAACGTGCTGTAACTCGATTCACAAAAATAGGATTGCTTTCTAATTTTGTATAGTTAATGCCTAAGTATCATACAATAATACCAAATTACTTTTACGTTGGCAGAAAAGTTATAATTTTTATTATTAAATGAACAATCAGACATGACTTACGACAAATTGACCGATTCGACAAAAAACCTGATGTAACTCTGTTCACAACAATAGGATTGCTTTCAAATTTTGTATAGTTATTGCCTAAGGATCATACAATAATACGAAATTACTTTTACGTTGGCAGAAAAGTTATAATTTTTATTATTAAATGAACAATCAGGCACGACTTACGATAAATTGAACGATTCGACGAAAAATCTGATATAACTCTGTTCACAACAATAGGATTGCTTTCAAATTTTGTTTATTTAATGCCTAAGTATCATACAATAATACCAAATTACTTTTACGTTGACAGAAAAGTTATATTTTTTTTTATTAAATGAACAATCGGACACGACTTACGATAAATTGAACGATTCGACGAAAAATCTGATCTAACTCTGTTCACAACAATAGGATTCTTTTCAAATTTTGTATAGTTAATGCCTTAGTATCATACAATAATACTAAATAGGTTTTACGTTGGCAGAAAACATAGAATTAACACAATTAATGAGTAAACGTACGTAACTAACAAAAAATACTGAATTTCGATCAAAAACCTGCTGTAACTCGATTCACAAAAATAGGATTGCTTTCTAATTTTGTATAGTTAATGCCTAAGTATCATACAATAATACAAAATTACTTTTACGTTGGCAGAAAAGTTACAATTTTTATTTTTAAATGAACAATCAGACACGACTTACGATAAATTGACCGATTCGACGAAAAATCTGATATAACTCTGTTCACAACAATAGGATTGCTTTCAAATTTTGTATAGTTAATGCCTAAGTATCATACAATAATACCAAATTACTTTTACGTTATCAGAAAAGTTATAATTTTTAGTATTAAATGAATTTGAGGGGCGTGCCATATACTACGCAGGCTATGTCCGTCGGCTAGCTCCGTCGGCTAGCTTCAGCTTCATGTACTAAGCTTGTACGCAGCATGCCAGCTAGAAGTAGTGCAGTAATTAAATCCAAAGGTGGACCGACTAGATTTTAAGTTTTTTTCATTCTTTTTTTGTGTAATTTAATGGTAACATATCAATTCAAAAAGTATAAGTTGTTTTGTTTTCTTTATTTTAAGTAAAATGTAGGGTGCCTAATACTTTTGGCCACGGCTGTATGTTTCAGGTGAATAATCAATACCTATCTTGACCTGCTCTTACGAGTATTATTGTTTGTGCTATGAACTCGTTGGTATATAAATATTTATTTTTTAGGGAAGCAAGTTAAAGATAATAAAATCAACATGCAATTAAGCGATACAATAAAAAATCCGAAAATAAATTCTTATAATAAGAACTTCACCTATACGTCAGCGATTTAAAAATATACAATGATGCTGACAATGTTTACCACAATTTTATCTGTTGATGAACATAATAAAATTTAAGTCATTGTAAATTTGGAAGGAAGGTGTCAACAATATATTGGTTATACAAATACTAAGTGTACTATGAGTGCACAATATAAATAAAATATTTTTTTTTATTATTATTTGTAACAAAAAATAACAAAATGCACGGTAGAAATGGTTGATAACGGCTGCTATAGTTTTATAATTGTATTACACTCATTAGCGCCCACCTCAGGAAGATAAACGACATGTTTCTAGTTGATCATGCTCGCTGAATATTATATAATAGTTTACTCAGAGTGTACCGTGTGTCCGCAGGCCTATCCGCGGCATGACGGCGGTGGTAGCGGGCGCGGGCCCAGCACACGCCTGTTTCTTCGCCACCTACGAGCACAGCAAGCACACGCTCTCGCATTACACCAGGCATCGGCACGACCACATCGTACATGGTGAGTATTCCATCATCCACTACATACAGATACCACTCGCTCATCAATACAGCGCATTTATTTGCCACTCCAACAAACATTGATATCCGGATTTTAAACTTTATAACAAAAAACCCTTAAACTTGTCATATCTGTTTGTGATTATGTATTCTGTGATGTTTTTCTCGTAATGTTACATTGTCGATAAACCTTTGACATTGCAAATAATTGACGAGCACTTAATTGTCACGGAGAAAAATGTCACGTCATGACACAAACACACGCTTGGATAATAGTTTAGTGTCCTGTGCGCGTACGCCCGCGGTAATACAACTCGCACGACCCTTTCCATTAGGTCTTATTTACAACTTGGCCACCTCAATTTTTAACCTTGACGATGACAAATATGCATTTGCGCAAATTGTGTCGGGGTCGTGTTTTGTCTCCTCTGCCATCGACACATCGCCTAACCCTATGCCAGTGGGGTTTGCAAATCAGGGACAAGTTGAGGATATCACTGCCTCATAACTCTCAACGTAACATAATCACTTACATAACTTACATCCAAGCCATTGGCCATTGCAACACACTATATTCATTTATTAATTTCTAGTTTGAAGTTATGTCAAACGACAATTTTCAAGTTTAATTTGTAGGTTTCGAAATAAGATTTGTGTATTAAAATTCACAAATTTACCTAAAATAGCTAACTTTAAACTTAAACGGTTTCAGATTGACGCGGTTTACTTACATCATCCTAAAATTTGACTTCTCTTTTCTATTACACCCTGTGCAATGACTCACGAAATGTAAGTGAATACAAGAGATGTAACACGATGTGTCGCCACTGTTCCAGGGTTGTCTGGGTGCATCGCATCGCTGGTGCATGACGCCGTCTCCAATCCCGCCGAGGGTGAGTACCGAACGTTCATACACCCAACACTTAAACACCTGCGCTGGCTGGAAACTGAAGTGTTTCGCTATTACATTCGCAACATAAGTTGATGCATAAAGTTGATAAAGTAATAGAGAGCTGAGTTGAGAAAGCTATTACTTTATCAACTTTATACAACTACAAACAAATTCTCAATCAAATCTCTATTCCTCAGGATGTTAGGTACCCTTTGTCATATCCTCTACCCTTGGCAAAGTATATGTTAGATTTAATGGTGATTGGTTAGGTAGTTAGGGTGTATCTGTTTACAGGGTGTAAACAGATACACCCTAACTACCTAACCGATCACCATTGAAAGGTTAATTCTGACTAATGATTTATAAAAGTGAATGAGAGATACATCAGGCGTAAGACAAGGCAACTAACTCTAATTCTTTTTTAAAAAATCATTAACATTAGTCGGAATTAATCTTTTAAACTCACATTTATTAAATTACTAAGAATATAATCAGGCAATAACTAGATGAAGCTAGCTTATATCTGAATATCTTGAAAAACGGGGAAGAACTAAAGCTTCCGCGTGTGGCCGCAGCTGGTCCGCCGGGCCGCGGTGTCCTTGCAGACCACTTGTATACTTGCAAGTCATGTCAGCAGCTCAATCGTTTTCACTTGTGCAAACAGTGCCGCCTTGTACTCATTATCTTCGCGAATAATTACGTCCTCAGCACCTCCGCACGGTCGCTCTCTTCTACAATTTATAAATGTATTTAAGCTTATCAATTTCCATTTCCTTTGTCGCAAATAAAACTTGTTGTAACAGATGTTCGACACAGTAGACTCGTACACGCTACGTTCCCGCGTACGTGTTGCTAATTGATATAACGTGTTGTCATCGTTGTTATGAGATTCTGTTCAATATATGTCGCGTTTTGGTGAATGAATGGACGGATGGTAGAGGCCACCCCGTAGACAGGTCCTAGACTCGTCCCAACCCATACCGATGACAAATAAAATATAACTATATAATAGTTATATTCACTGACACAAATATTTATGTGTTAGTGAATGCGACAAACAAGATATATGAAGGTGTATGCAGGGCCAAACCATGCTCTAATATAGACAGCCGCAGTTTCGCAGAATAACTAATTCTTTTTGTTCCCAATCTTTAATATTCGGTATTATTCCTTTTTAAGATAACGTTGAATATTAATAAATAAGTAATTGAGCGTATCTCAGTCCGCGGCCTGGATGCGAAACATTCGTGATGAGTTCTGGAGAAGATGTTTTCGTCTGTGTTCGATTTTTTACCCCACTTTTTACCTTCACGAATAAGCAAGTGATAAAATGACGAAAAAGTTACATAAAAATACGTTCAAACATCTCTTCTGACGCTTTCTTAGTTCTAATAAGGAAGTCGGGTTGTTTTCTCCCTCTAACATCCGTCTATTCGCGGCGTCTTAGCTTAGAAAGACTAGCCATTAGTCCTCGAATCCTGTTGGTTTCATTTTGAACAACTGTTGCAAGTTCTTACTACTATTTCTAACTTCAGGTTGGAGGTTCTCAAATTGGCTCCCTCATTTCTACTGATATTGATTTGGAAAATTCTTTTTTATTCGAAGGGCAAATGCTTGTTTGGTTGGGACTAAAATTTGTGGAACAAATTCCATCCCTAAGGATGAAGATTAAAGAATAAACGATAGGCGCATTCAAGTCGGTGCTACTTTTTAAAAGTTAATTATACTCAAGTAATGCTTAATTATTGAGAGCATCGTATTGGCACTTAGCAACCCGGCTTTGCCTTAGCACCATTAAGAACTGTTATCCATAAGTAACATACTAATTGATCTTGCGGTCATAAACTGGTAGTCTGATTATTAATTTACTCTTAACAATCAGACTATGTAAATATCAAACGTCCATCAGTAAATAATAAGAACTGAATCCATTAAACAGAAATTTTTAGATTGTTATCAACAATAAGTGAATCCAAACCGGAGTTATTCCAAACATAAATAAATATTCCACACCACACTCACAATCAATCATACGTCCTTACGTGCCTACGCACACACACACACAGTCATCGCTGTTAATCTATATTAGTTTCTTTACTTTGTGTATCAATGTTGTTATGCAACTATACCTACTCACATATACAATATATATATATATATATATATATATATATATATATATATATATGTGTATATTAATTTAACTAGAGTAATGACTCCATTAAAGTCAAGTAGCATAAATGTAGGGGAAGGTGTTATACCTGTGGACATTTGTCGGATTTTGAATGAAAATATGGTTTAATGATTTAATTTTTATTTATTAGCCGTAAAGTATTACAAATGTTGTTCCAGGATTAGTTAACACTTAAAAATTAGCAGTCTTTAGTTTTGTACGAATTATGTTGATTAAAATAAACCAGTTTTTTTTTAATCACTAAATTTGTCCACAGGTACATCTTATGATTGTACCTCTGGACAGAAATACTTGTACCTATGGACGGCAATGTACCTATGGACAGATCACTTATCCTTACATAATAATTCTATAAAAATCAGCAAAAATAAATAGAATATCTTTATAAATCAACTTTAACATTAAAGAATCAATTATTCATTTTGGTTTTGGCATCTAAATAATTTTTATATAGTTAAGGCAGAATCATCAGAGGCATCTGAATCACCATCATCTAAAATATAACACTTTTGATATAAGAAGTCTGACTCATCATCTGATTCAAAATTATCTAAATGTGATCTTGATACACATTTCTGGTGATATTTCAAATCGCATTGAGAACAATTGAGCAGTTTGTAAACATTTTCATGTCTTTTACATCCCATACACATGGTTTAAGGTAACTGCTCATCTTGAAGAATTGTGACCCTTTTTTCTGCAGATTAAATTTTTATTTTTATCTAAATATTCTGCAAGCTGTTTTTCTACTTCCTCATCAAATACTTTCTTCACGTCATTTCTCAAAATAATTCTCCTTATTCGTGTGAAGGTCTTTAAATATCGTAGATTTTGGTATTTTATATTTTTCTGCAACTTTTCGCAATGAACATCCAGTTCTTGCCTCTTTAATTGCCTCAGATAACGTCTCTGAACACAACCTACGTCGCGTTTTTCCGTCCTTACTACGAGGCACTGAAAAATGGAAAAAAAAATGAAATTCTAAATCGTAATATGCTGATTAAATAAGAAATTCGAACTAAAATTTGTACCTGTGGACAGTCCATAGGTACATACACTTCGATGTCCACAGGTACAAATCAGACAGTACAACCTAAAAATGTATTACCGGCATGATAGGTACTAGTTTACACCGTTATACCGCTGTAAATGGATGTTTAACTACATGTACTACAGTATGACTAAAAATGATCATCTATATTCTGCATATGTTCACAAAAAAATAGGACAAAAAAGAGATAAATACTTACTTTTTTGAGCGAAAACCCTTAACGGTCTGTCACCGGTCACACAACAAAAGATACAAAATGGCAGCAAGTCAATTTTGCCACACATCAAAAATACTTTACGGATGCGTTCAATTCGTTAAATTTCTGTGTTTATTTTTTGAAATATCAATGATGTCCACAGGTAAAACCGTTTATAGGTACAACACCTTCCCCTACATATAGTTATTTTCGTTACAGTTGTGATATGGCACTTTACATATTTTCCTCACCACTAGTTTTCGGTGCAGTGTCACTTCAACCAATTTTGTATCGGCCAAATTCAATGAAGGTTCAACCATTTTAGTGGCAACTGTGCTTACTTCTATACTTCAAATAGTATTTATTTTTTCAACATTGAGTTTCGTAGTCAAGTAGTCGCTTGGTGTAGTACTTTAATATAAGCCATATAAGACAAACCTAATAAGTGGTGTGAGTTAAATATTAGTATTCCTGCATCATACACAAAATTATAGTTCATTTTTTAAACCCGCCCACCAAATTTAAAGTACAGCAGTAACTACTTTTGTCATCTAACATGTGAATGTAGGTATATTGTCTAGTGTAAAACGACTTTTGATGGTGTTATTCTTATTTGATATCTGATTTGCACTTTAAAAAAATGAAATAAGCAATACAATATATGACTTATATGACTTGCAGATACAATCAAACCTGAGATTATCACCGTTAGTAATAGTATCCCAATAATCTCTACATGCACATATAATACATCGAAATCAATTTCTACATCCCGCTAGTCCTTTGAAAATGTACACTATTATAAAAAAACTAAGAGCACCGGTTTTGAGGACATCTGTGTATTGGTAATATAATCCGTATCTCATATAATTTCACCTATACTGAGCTTTATTATAAATATGTGCATATTTCCATCAACTTCCATCAACCAACAACAACATCAACAAACAACAACAACAACATCAACAGGGAATATTTCCATCGGTGTTAAAAACTAAACCGCTTCATAAAAAGGATGTTAAATCAGATATCAAAAATTACAGACCTATACCAATGACTCCGACATTTTCTTAAATAATTGAAAAAGCTACATACAATATACTACTTGTATAACTACTTTGAAAGGAATAATAACTTTAATTAATATTTCCATAAAACTAGCTATTTCTTAAGTTTAAATATATCCTAGAGTTAATAAAAGACAGCCTGTCTATGCTCTGGCCTGTCAAAGGCCTTCGACTACGTGAATAGTATATTACTGAGTAAGCTGGAAACGTATGGTGTTAGGGGCAACAGTTTGGACTTAATAAACTATTTAGTATGTAAGCATCAGTAATAGAACTCAGATTAGGAGTATTGTCAAAATTTGTCCCAAAACGAAATATGAAATAAATTATAAGTCCAAAAGTAGATAAACAAAATATGGAGTTCCACAAGGTAGTGTTTTGGGCCTATTACTTTTTCTTGTCTATATCAATGACCTGCCCAAATTTTCTACAGATCGTTTGATACTATTTGCTGATGACTGTACAATTATGTATAAAGTGATGAAAATTTTAA